TAGCCCCAGCCAGCTAAGGTAATCTGGCCCCAGGGCCCCCTAAGTTCTTTGATGCAGGAATCATCTTTTTGTTGTGTATTTGCAGGTACCTGACAAAATAGGGTACTGGTCTGTGACTGAGACCCTTAAGTGCCATCTCAGTACAAAGAATAAATGATGACAGCAGCAGCAACTGCAAGCTCCCCTAACATCCAGTGTTACTTAGGGTTGTTAAAATCATGTAATAGGGTAACTGTGTAACCACTAAAAATCTCAGCAGTTACAGAGTTACCCACGCTGTGGGCTCTGCAGTATAAAGTTTTATACCGCAGAGCCTAAGTGGAGCCTTCGCAGGAGTGGGGCCACCAGCCCTTGCCCGCCTGGCTTCTGGAGAGGTGGCTTTACTGCCCTACTGCAGCAAAGCCACCTCTCTGTGAGCTGGCTGAGTGTAACCAATACCATTAACTGATAAGCATCAGCTTAGTGGTTAAACAGTTAATTGGCTATACTCTAACATCCAAATGTTACTAACACCTGGCTTTGGAAAAATGCATTGGCTGTCAATTGGCTGTCAAGTATCTAATTGATACTAGACTTGTCAGATACACGGAGAAGAGATCTAGTTGAAGAGACCTGAATTTAAGAAAAGATATTCTCTATATTTCTACTATTGCTTCTGTCACAAAGCATCATCAGAGGAGTCTTACCAATGTCAAGCCACTTTCACTACATTGTTCTTCTTAGTAGAGTCCTGTGTGGATACAAAATTTGTATCCGCATCCACCTCTACATCTGCAGAAATGAGCCAGGGATATTCACAAATCTGTAGGGTTCTAGACACAACATTTGTCCCCGCATCCACCTCCGTATATGTAAAAATGAGGCATGAATATCTGCATCCATATCAAAGGACGCAGATACATGCAGATATGGATTTGCAGGGCCTTAGGATTTGCTCTTTTTGAAGTACACAATGAGGCTTGCCAGTGCCTCATATTAAAGGAAGATGTTGATATATTAGGCATCACAGAAACTTGGTGGAATAAGGACAATCAATGGGTACAAAATATATTAAAAGGACAGTCATACCAGGGTACAAAACACATCAGAAGGACAGAACAGGTCATCCTGGTGGGGGATTGGCACTATATGCGAAAAAAATGTAGAAACAAATGAAGTAAAAATCTTAAATAAACCAAAATGTTCTTTAGAATATCTATGCGTAGTAATACCATGCTCTAATAAAGAATATAGCAGTAGTAATATATTATCAACCACCTGACCAAGATAGTAATAGTGACTATGAAATGCTAAGGAAAATTACAGAGGCTATCAAAATAAAAAACTTGATAATAGTGGAGGATTTCAACTATCCCCGTATTAACTGTATACCCATCACCTCAGGACGGGATGCAGATACACAATTTCTTGGTACCTTAAAAGACTGCTTCTTGGAGAAGCTGGTACTGGAACCTTCAAGGGGGAAGGCTATTCTTGATTTAGTCCTAAGTGGAGCACAGGATCTGGTCCAAGAGGTAAATATAACTGGACCGTTTGGAAATAGTGACCTTAATGTAATAAAATTTAACATCCCTGTGGTGGGAAAAACACATCAGCAGCCCAATACTGTGGCATTTCATTTCAGAAAGGGGAACTATACAAAAATGAGAAGATTAGTTAAACAGAAATTAAAAGGTACAATGACAAAAGTAAAATCCCTGCAAGATGCATGGAAACTTTTCAAAGATACCATAATTAAGGTATATAAATGTATATAAACTTAAATGTATACTCCAAATTAAAAAACACAGTAAGAGAACCAAAAAAGTGCCACAGTGGTTTAACAACCAAGTAAAAGAAGCAGTGAGAGGTAAAAAGGCATTGTTTAAAAAGTGGAAGTTAAATCCTAGTGAGGAAAATAGAAAGGAACATAAACTCTGTAAAATTAAGTGTAAAAATATAATAAGAAAGCCAAAAAGGAGTTTATAGAACAGCTACCAAAAATCAAAAAAGTAATAGCAAAATGTTTTTTAAGTACTTCAGAAGGAGGAAGCCTGCTAAATAACCAGTGGGGCCCCTGGACGATCGAGAGGTCAAAATAGCACTTAACGACGATAAAGTTATTGCGAAGAAACTAAATGAATTCTTTGCTTTGGTCTTCATGACTGAGGATGTTGGGGACGTTCCCATATCTGAGCCATGCAACGCTGGGCAGTCCGCAGGTGATCCCGGGGCTCCCTGCAACAGTGTCCCTTTGAAACGCCACGGCAACATTTCACTTTTAAGGTGATAAATCTGAGGAATTGCCCCAGACTGAGGTGCCATTACAGGAGGCTTTGGAAGCAAGTGATAAACTTAAGTCACAGGGACCAGATGGCACTTACCCAAGAGTTCTGAAAGAACTCAAATGGGAAATTGTGGAACTATTAACTGTGGTTGGTTACCTATCCTTTAAATCAGCTTCTGTACCTAAAGACTGGAAGATAGCTAATATGACACCGACATTTAAAAAGGGATCTAGAGGTGATCCTGGCAATTACAGTCCAGTAAGTCTGACGTCAGTACAGAGCAAATTAGTTGAAACTATAGTAAAGAATAAAATCATCAGACACATAGATGAACATAATTTGTTGGGGAAAAGTAAACATGGTTTCTGTAAAAGGAAATCATGCCGTACTAATCTACTAGAGTTCTTTGACGGGATCAACAAACATGTGGACAAGGGGAAGTTGTTTTAGTCAACTTCATTTGCAAATTTAACACCTTCATGCAGGGCTTGGCCATTATATTCAACACCCAAATGACATCAAAAGCTAAGTATTGGACACTTACAGCCCATTCTATTAGCCTCATTTAGCACAGACACTATAATCAACAGGTTTTTTTTTCTTCGTTCTACTCCCTTTCTCCCCCCTTTTTCTGCTTAAAATTTAGGATTTTTGTACCTCTCTGCGCCTCTTGCTCCACTCATTTGAAGAAGTGGGTTGTGCCCACAAAACTGAAGACACTATATAAAATTTTTGTTAGCCTCTAAGGAGCTACAGTACCACTCATTTTAAAAAATGTTTACGTTACAGACTAACACAGATATTTCTCTGAGGCTTTTGGGCTTAAAAGGTCAGCTAGCCTGGGGCACTTCATTGAAGCATCATGTATTGACAACTGAGAGAGGCATAATGTCAAAACAGAAGCAATAATTATCTAAACTGATAAAGCAAACCCTGTGAGCCTACTTGACAGTATTTAATATAATTCTATGGATTAGTTCAGATAAACCAGCAACCTTTTTCCCTAAAGAAATTACAAGGTTAGCCAACTCACCGAAGCATTTTCAGCTCCTGGGCAGCCTTCAAGATTATTTCATGCTGCCTTTGACTAAGGACCATTACTCCTCCAAGTGACTGTTCAGGGTCTAGGTTTGGCTCTTCTCCCAGAATGTCAGATGAACGTGATGGTGGAAGGGGTGGATCAAGCTGATCCTCCAAAGGTCGTAGTCGCTCTACTTCATCTGAATACCACCTATCAGACAACCGTTCCCTCTCCCAATCAGTCCTTTCAGGGAGGTACTCTCGCTTCTCCCTTGATGTATCACGCCTCTCTGGATACTCTCGGATCCTCAACTCCCCCCTATCTCGGAGGTCTCTGTTGTAGAGATCCCTGTCTCTCTCCTCCCTCCACCGGTCCTCACGATATCTGTCCAAAGGTGGAAGTGGTGGCAAAGGTGGAAGAGGGGGAATATCCAGGTCACGACTTGTTGTATCTCTGTCATCCAGAGGTCTCAAGTAATCTCTGTCCCATTCTCTATCTAATTCTCGATCATAAATATCCAAGGGTCTTCCAATCCTGTCCAGATCTCTATCCAATTCCCTCTCCCTTGGCCTTTCCCAGTCATCCCACCAAGTATCTCGCCTGTCAAAATCAGAAGACAAAGGAGGTAGAGGAGGAGGGGATAGTGGAGGCAATGAAAGAAACCTATCATCTCTATCATATGGATCCAGGGGATCATCTCGAAAATCTGTGTCATGCTTTCTCCAATATCGATCTCTTTCCCAATCATCTAATTGTTCGCGCTCTAAAGAACGGGCATCTCGCCTATCTAATGAAGGCTCCTCTTGCATTCTCTCCTCTTTGTGACTCCACGGAGCCCTTGTTGGTTCCTCTCGATGATATAATGATAATTTCTCAGCGTTGTCTCCTAGACGGATTGGTTTATCAAGACTGCTTGTCTCAGGCCTACCCATTTCCCTCTCCCGGCTACCTGCATGCCTGACAGGACCCCTCTCCCGACTCCCTGCTCGCCTGACAGGACCTCTTTCCCAGTTTTCAGCCCGCATGACAGGACCTCTCTCCCGGCTTCCAGCCCGCATGATAGGACCCCTCTCCCAGCTTCCTGACTGCCCCCTATCCCTGCTGCCTGCCCGGCCAGCTGATTCTGTTTCTTGGCTAGACAATACTCTCTCCCGGCTACCTGACTGACCAACTGGTCCTATATCCCAGCTGTCTGAGCGCCCATCTGGCAAGTTTTCCCTGCTATCTGACCGCCTGTCTAGCTGCTCCTCCCAACTACTAACTCTCTGTACCATCCCCCGGCCTCGGGTGGCTGCCTGTCTGGGTAACCCTCTACCTCTGTTTGTTAGCCCCCTGCCTCGGAAGTCTTCCAATCTGCCCTGCCCCCTGTCTTGGCTATCATCCAGTCTGCCCTGCCCCCAGCCTCGGCCGTCATCCAGCCTGCCCTGCCCCCAGCCTCGGCCGTCATCCAGCCTGCCCTGCCCCCAGCCTCGGCCGTCATCCAGCCTGCCCTGCCCCCAGCCTCGGCCGTCATCCAGCCTGCCCTGCCCCCAGCCTCGGCCGTCATCCAGCCTGCCCTGCCCCCAGCCTCGGCCGTCATCCAGCCTGCCCTGCCCCCAGCCTCGGCCGTCATCCAGCCTGCCCTGCCCCCAGCCTCGGCCGTCATCCAGCCTGCCCTGCCCCCAGCCTCGGCCGTCATCCAGCCTGCCCTGCCCCCAGCCTCGGCCGTCATCCAGCCTGCCCTGCCCCCAGCCTCGGCCGTCATCCAGCCTGCCCTGCCCCCAGCCTCGGCCGTCATCCAGCCTGCCCTGCCCCCAGCCCCGGCCTCGATCCAGTCTGCCTTGCCCCCGGCCTCGGCCGTTGTCCAGTCCGCTCTGCCCCTGGCCTCTGCCTAATAGTAAATTGCCATTATTGTCTTCTGGTTGAACCAGCCCTTTACCCTGGTTATTTTCTGACCCAGCTAGTCCTTTACTCTGACTATTTTCTGAAACGGGCAATTTACTATCTGTAGATTTCAAGTCTTTATTTCCTGTTACAGGGGTTGGAAGTAAGGCTGCTGTTCCTCCTGTTCTTGGAGGAATAGTAGACTGCACAGTTACAGGCGTACTGGGAAGTGGTACTGTTTTTTTATTCTGAATGGGTGGAGGTTGAGTAGCTGGTTTTGTCTCTTCTAACTGCAGTGCAGGATCATGAGAACTCCAAGTCCACTTTTTAGGTGCTGGAATAACTTCTTTGACTTCAGTTTTGAGTGGTTCCTGCGGAGCTTTTGTCAGGTCCTCAGCTGGCTTGACTGGACCAGAATTCTTTGTATCTGTATCAAAGGCAACTGAAGCAGGTTGGGTTCTATTTACCAACTGCTGGTTGACATTCACATCAGCAAAAGGTTCTCTGTTTTCTGTTCGGGATTCTGTTTGAGACTGCTGCTGTCCTAAAGGAGGTCTGGGCCCCCTCCACTGTGGCCCACTTGGTCGGGAACTGTGCATCTGTGATGTATTTGGGGAAATATAAAACTGTGCTGCTGGCCCCCTGGGAATAGTCCCCCATTTGCTTGTAGACCGTCTATCTGAATTTTGACCTTCAAATCTTGGCCTTGGCCCTTCCAGGCGCTGGCCTTCAAAACAAGGCCCTTTCTGTTTTGGCCCTTCAAATCTGTCAAAGCCTTTTCCCTGAGGTCCATCAAACCTACAAGTAAAACAAGAAACTTATTCAAATAATCAAATTTAGTGAGAATTCTCTAGAAGACATTTTCACTTTATAAAAACACTTTCATACATAGGTCTCTGTAGGCCTCTGCAAAACCCATTGAATCAGTTCAAAAATACAGAAATATGTGCTTCAATATCACAATGAACAACTGAGACAGACATAAGCCACTTGCAGACTCAGCAACCTCTAGGCAATAAAGCTAGACGAGGAGCCACAAAATAATCAGTATCATGCTCTAATGTAACATGTCTCTTACTGTCTCATATTATTTGAGGCACTGTTCATAATACGGACGTAATAGTATGGTTGATGAACTGATAAGCAAAACCTTATAGGTTAATGCTATAGATGACATGAATCCCCGCCGCCCAAGTAAATTTTTTAGCAGGCTGGCCTTCAGCCTGGCTCAGTCCTGGCTTGTGCTAGGTCTGGGACATACCCCAGTGTGGCTCTGTATTTAAAGTGTATTAGGAGTCAGGTGGGCAGGCAGCCCGGCTCAATTCCAGCTTGCACTGGGTCCGGGAGCTTAGACACCCCTGGCGCCCTGGACAGCAGCAGGGGGCTCCTCAGGAGTAGGGCTGGAGTGCACTGGCTGCTGGCCCCACCCCCGGGAACTATAGAATAGTCGAGGAACAGGTAAGAATTCATGAGGTTAATCCACTATTCAGTTAACTGATATTTAACATCCCTAATTCATACACACATAATGGAAAATTCCCCCCTGCTTCTGTGAGAGCAGCAGCATTTGAACCATTCTTTTATACATAGCAGTGGCTGAAAGTGTAAATTTCACTCATGAGGACTAGTTCCGGAAGAGATGTTGACTTAAAATCTTAGCTGGAAATCAAGTTGTGATGGTGCATTTCATATTCTTTATTAAAATATCCTTCTTAATATCGATATGCAAAACTGGAAAATGCTTTATGAAAATGATACATGTGTATCATTTGAAAAGTTGTAATTTGCTGAACTCATATATTTTATTTGTATGCATTAGGGATGTGAACTTATAACTGTGTAAATATTTAACTGATAAGCTTAGGCTTATTGGTTAATGTTTACAGTTACACGCAGGTGCCACCCTGCTCGCTCCTGGACTGAAAGAAAATCTGTGGTTACACGCACCCGCAGCAAGCTTCCCGGGAGCCAGTACATGCTACTCATTCTGCTGCCTCTGATACAATTACCTGCATTTTAACTTCCCTATCTGTGATTGTGCCTACAGATAACTTTAAACATTTCTGAAACAGATGTTTCCAAACTGTTCTCCAAGACAGATGGTTAGCGTAGTATTTGCTAGGGATTTAAGAGTGATGCTTGTCATTCAATGCTGGCTTTTCGCTAAGTTTCCAGATAATTTGAATTAAAATAAACTAAAAGTCCAGGAAATTTTTTTTTCTCTTTTCCATTTGAGAAATTGTTGCAGATGTAAAAGGCATGCTTTGTGTTTACAAGGGAAACGTGGGGTACACAAGACAATCTCACAAGAAAGATGTAACCTATCTAGTTAATACCCATGTACAAGGCTCATGTCTCTGATTCTGCTTTCACTGAGGACATGTCTACATTATGTGTACTAAAGGAGAGAGAGCCACTGTGTGGATATTTGCCCCACTAATAGAAAAAGTTTTTCCATTTGTTTAGGCAATCTACTTCCCCAACAAATAGTAGTCCACGGGAAAAAAAATTCTGTTAACATTTAGATTGACACTGAAGGGTGTAAAAAATTCATACCCCTGAGCACTGTAATTCAGTAGACCTAGCCCTCAAGGTAGATTATGATTATGTTAAGTGTAGACCAGATCAACATAGTGCACAGAATTTAATTTTAAAAAGCCACAAAATAAAATCCACTATGCTGCACACAAAATTTCCCTTGGAAAGAGATGACAAAGAATGAAGAACAGGCAGTCCCCGGGTTACATGGATCCGACTTACATCGGATCCCTACTTACAAACGGGGTGAGGCAACCCCGCACTAGCTGCTTCCCCCCAGCAGACCAGGGAGACGCGAAGCCAGCGCCCCCCCCCCCGCAGACCAGGGAGACGTGGAGCGGCTTTTCTCAGCAGACACCTCAGCTTGAGAATAAAGGACTGAGGGAAGTGAGGTGTGGGAGAATAAAACTGAGCTCTGGAGAAATGTTTGGCTAGAGTTTCCCCTACAATATGTACCAGTTCCAACTTACATACAAATTCAACTTAAGAACAAACCTACAGTCCCTATCTTGTACGTAACCCGGGGACTGCCTGTACATGACCGATTTTTTTTACACTGCTCAATTCACAACTGGCATTATAGGCACTACAGTGATGAGAATAGTATAAGAATCTGTATAAACGAGAATGCGTGCAAACTAAAGGAAAAAGACCTACCTAGGACCTCTTGGTCCTTCTACATATGTGGCTCTGGGTGGGTCTGGAAGCAATCCACCTGATCGCACTGGTTTATCCTGAATGTTGGTGGCAGGGGGTATATAGGTTGAAGATATTGTAGAGGCAGGGGTTACGTAGGTTGTAGATATTGTAGTGGCGGGGGGTACGTAGGTTGAAGACACTGTAGTGGCAGGGGTTACGTAGGTTGTAGATATTGTAGTGGCGGGGGGTACGTAGGTTGAAGACACTGTAGTGGCAGGGGTTACGTAGGTTGTAGATATTGTAGTGGCGGGGGGTACGTAGGTTGAAGACACTGTAGTGGCAGGGGTTACGTAGGTTGTAGATATTGTAGTGGCGGGGGGTACGTAGGTTGAAGACACTGTAGAAGAGATTTTCAATTCTTCAGATGCTGGTTCAGATGAGACAGAAACAAATGGTGCAGCTTGCTTGCCCAGATGAACTTGAGTGTTTCCTTGGTCTGAAGAGTCAGCAGATGAAGATATTTCAGAATGACAAGGTAAAGCTTCAGATGCATCAGCTATTTTAAATACAAAAGATTCAGGGATAGGAAGCAGAGCTGGCCTGGTTGTCTTAGAAGTCTGGAAAACCTGAGGACTAGATGGTGGGAGTTCAGATGAGTTAGACAACTGAGGATCAGAAGACAGAGGTGGGGGAGCCTGTGAAGGGGTGGCTGAAGGCAAAGATGAAGGCATAACAGGCATGCTTTCTTGAGAAGTTTGAGAGTATGGAACAAAAGGAGGTGGTAAAGCAACTTTTCCAGTATATTGATTCTTCATGTTTCGAAGCGAGTTCACTTTCTCCTGCAGATGGGAATGAGTAGCTTTCATCTGTCCCTGCCATGTCTTCCACTGTTTTTCATATTCCTGAAGCTGGTCTTTATGAGGATAGGTCTGAAGCTGATCCTGCCATCCTTGGAATTCACGCTCCCATTCTTTGTAAAGTTGTTGAAACTGTTTCTGCTGTGTCTCATAATGCTGCAACTGCATATCCACTGACATTGTCTGGAAGAAAAAAAAAAGATAGAAATGCTGCAAAATACATTTTAAGTTCCTTCTGAATCCACATGCTTGAATATCAACCTCTGTCACAACCTTCAGCTTATGCAGAAGTTTGACAGAAGAGTTACAAAGAAACAGAAATAAAAACATCCTGTCTGATAGACATATCCTGTCTAGTGTTTCTCCAACCTATACATTTTAGTGACAGATAAGTACAAACACTTGCATACGAAAAGTCCCCATCACTCAAGGTGAAGGGAAGATGCTGTGGGGGGAAGATTACTTCTGCACACAACCAAACTATTTGGAGGTATTACTAGGTAACATCCTCCATCCCTACTAAATCACAAATCAATTCACAAATAATTTAATATAGGTAGCAATTAGCCTTGTTTCCTAGAATCTTTAATTTTTTGCTCCAACCACATACCAATTCAATTTAAATATCCTTTCCGTCATATTCCAGAGTACCACATGGACCACTAAACCAAGCTTATTTTGAGTAAACTGCAGTAGTCCTCCAAGTTTGATTTTACCTAACTTGATTGTCTAACAAAGCAAACTCAGTGAACAATCTGTCATTAAGCTTGTAATAACAGTTGTTAACCTACAAGAGTCACTAAAAATTTACTATATTTTATCTATACCACATCTGTATCTCAATTGCTGTGGCCAAAGTGCAAGTGTCCTTAACCCTGCCTTGTAAAATCATGCAAATGTACTACCCTAGGAACCATGATGATTATTTTACTTGTCTCCTTCACCTGGGCACTACTGGCTCTAATATACTTTTCCTGACGACTTTCAAATCCTAGAGTGCTAGAGGTAGCATATAACCACATGCTACATATTATTCATGCAGACACATACTATTGCAAAATGAAATGAAAAAGTATTAAACCATGGTATATTATGCATAAAATATGAATCAATAAAGAATTCACTAAGAGCTGCACAAGAAAAAAAAATGTGAAGGCTGAATTATCTTTTTTCATATCTCCCATTTGACTACTGTTATAATTGGTCAAGAGAGTATAAAAATGCTATATCAATGGTCCAGCCAATTCAATGTAGTCAAGTCTGAAACAGTTGAGCAAACCAGTTGCCCCTCTAGCCATGTATTTTGTGTCTGAGAATGAGCAAGGATGCATTGTTATGTATTATTTGTATTGTGGTAATGACCAGAGAATCCAATCAGGATTGGATTTGGGACTCCATGATTGCAGCCAGACCCACATCCACAAAAGAGACACTAAGGTCCTCTTGGTGGAGCACTGGACTGTGATTTAGGAGAACAGAATTCTGTTCCCCACTCTCTCACAAACCTGTTATGTGACCTTGAATAAGTTACTTCACCTCTCAGTGCCTGTTTTGCTGCTTACCCTTTGTCTGGTCTGTCTTGTCTGTTTAGATTGTAAATTCTTTCAAGCCTCTTTCGAAAGAGAACATCTAGACCAGTGTTTCTTAAACTTTTTAAGATCAAGGAACACCAAACCATTTTTTTTTTTATGGAGACCACCAAGGATTTTTTGTTGAACAACAAACAAGG